AATATCCTCTGCAACAGGCAAAATTCTGATGCAACGTTGACCAAAACCCAACGAAAAACGTGAAAATACGGGGTTCTGCGCAGGCACAGTACGTTCTGCCAACGTGCTTAATCACATGACCTGACCGTGAAACTAAGTCAATGTCACTGTCAGTACTAGTACTTACAATAGTTACACTTTTTAGTTTTTTCATTGAACAGAAAGTAATTTGTAATCCATTGTATCTTGAAAGCCCCTCTTCTTGCACAGCCTGTTACCTATATAACCAAAGTCAGGTACTCATTTAAACCTGGGTAGATTGAGGATAGTGGTATTAACTACTTTTCCTAAGGACACAATATCTAGCCATCAATGCCACTCATCAATCATTAGGGTACAAGCAATTCGAACACAATTCCTAAATTGCTTTGACGAAAACCAAAAAGAATTGTACTGTCCCAACCTGTTAGGTAGCCTGAGTAGAATGTCGTACAGCTGACTGTTCAGCTCAGTCTCAGTATGGCTGGATTCGTTAAATTCCTGTCGGAGCTAAATGGAGGTGAATGCAGTCATGAATTCTTTATTGTGATTGTAGTTAACAAACACCTTTTATGATTTTCAGCAACATCGCTGGCTCATAATTAATAGTCATACATTAATAGCAACATATAGTGACTGAGTATTTGAGGTGAGCAATGGTCTGATTGTGTTGAACGAAAGTACAAATGCCATCCAGGCATTATACTATAGTCTGACAGCAAGTCCAATAACATTTAAGCACAAAATGCTGCCAGAGGTGAAGCACTTTTGACTTGGTAGACTTACTAGTAATCTCCAAGCAGATTCTAGGGTGGCCAAAAACAGTACAAAGTTGACCAGGCATTGCCATTAGCCTTTAGACCCTCTCTGGCAAATGGATACTACCTACCTGACCAACGTCTTTGGCCACCCTAGGATTTGCTTGGAGACTATGTATGACATCTGACTATCCCAATGGCTTATGCTATGGGACTGGTGATGATGATAACGAACTACATGTATCATATTTACCTGGCGTCCTTTTACTTGCATGTCCTTAAATTCATCACTGTTGGGTTGACTTTTGGCCAAACTTTTGGCCTGACTTGCCAGGGCCTGTCTCTGCTCCTGTAGCTGGTCCACCTTGGCTCTGACCCTGCAGCTCTCCTGCCACAGGTCAACCAGCCTGTACACTTCATCCTCCTGTCAACGTCAGGAAGGAAACACTATGTCTCAGATAACTGAACTTTGTATACTAGTAGTTAAAACACTAATCTCCAAGCAGATGTAGGGTTCCACTCAGCATGGAAGTAAAAACATATACATGACGTATTATAAATCTCCTTGAGCAAATGTAGGGTTCCACACAGTCAGTGTTTTGAACATGTGTTTGAGGCATTTTCAACTTTTTTTGGTGGTCCAAACTTTTAACTCTTTCCTTCCTTCCAATCATGGTGTGATTTTTCTACCTCCATGCTCCAATAGCAAGACATATTACATTACATACAAAAATTATGCCTTCAAAACATATTAAAGTAAAACTGAGTAGAATCGTACATCTGCTTGGGATGTTGGAAACATGCACTAAGATTTTGGGGATTTTAAACGACACAGATAAATGGTACAGGTGGATGGTGTTAGATGGGGTACTTGCCTGCATTTCACCTTTACGGTCTCTTACTCGCTTTGCGACACTGTCCACATTCCGACAAATGTCCTCAACGTCAAACTCTATTTTATCTAAGATCCCCCTGGTCATGTGATCATATAATCCATCCCGCTCATGGAGCAAATATTTCCCATCTTGTGAGCTGCAGCATCTAGCCAGAATCCGTGTGTGGAGGTCGACACAACAATTTGTCCTCGCAAAAAAGCCAGTATTAAAGGTGCGAAGTATGGCCGTTCGGATCATTCTCTGTTCTCTTCAGCGCATCCAGATATATTTGACCTTTCAAGGGATTTATACACATGTATGACCTAAAATACCCAGATAAACACTAATATTGTGACTTCTGTGAGGATTGCCATGTGCATCTGATTGACAGGTCAAA